TAGTTTACAAAATTGATAATGGTCGCAAGAAAGACCGAAAATTTCCTATTATATAAAATAATTATTATACATAGTCATAAAACCTATCTTCAAATTTACTCATTTGCCCATATAGTATAAAAAATCTAGAATTTGAGTATTCAATTTTTAAAGCATTTGAATTATTAAAAGTGTATAGTTCTGAGAGAAGTTTGAAACTCGTAACAAATTGACAATTTCTGCATTACTGTTTCATTGATCAAACTTTTTTCCGTACACTATTTACTTTGGTCACGGGACGGTATATGCAAGATATGCTATTGGTGGAAAAACAATCAATGTAAGCAGCGGTAGAAGAAGGAGAAATAGATAGATAGATAGATGGCTGCTTCAGATGGCTTTAGCATTGAATAAAAAGAATTTCTATCTCGTTACCACTTCATTTCTGACGCACCTTTCTCACTACTACGCAGTACTTTATGTATTTGAATCAAACGTACGCAATAAGATGTATATAAAAAACAAAGAAATACAAAGAAGCCCCCACCTAGCGCCAATGCCAGGATTTTCGGTCAATAGGAATCTTAGGTCTCTCTTTGGTAGTCTTCCCAAATCAAAAATAAAATAGTGGAATTTTTTAAAGTTTTTTTAATATTCAGACACATTGTTTATTCTATACTGAATAAGGAAATTGCACTTATGTGCAGAAAACTTGTCCTACTTTTATTTAGGACATCTGACAATACAACTTAGCATAACAAAGACTAAATGTTGTTTTGATTACTTGAAAGCCTATCTACTACTCGTTTATATAATTATTATTAAAACCATATTTAACAGCCAATATTGTTCAGGGTGTGTGTGGGTTGTTGTTTTGAATGAAATAAAGAGTCATATACATACCTCACACCCACATCCTCAAGCTACTATATTTATTCTCATTTATTAGAAATTGAATTAAATTTCATGTATTATCTCATTTATACACACTCATTTTTTTTATTTCTTTCTTAGCTTTTTGTTTTACTTCGATTCTAGGCGAGGTTTATATTCTTGTACGATTTCCTGTGATATCAAATAATGTGAAGCAAAAGAAAATAACTTCGTGAATACGGATAAAAAGTGTGTAAATTTTATAAAAACCGACTGAAAAATAGGTTCTTTGACTTCGTCAGACATATTATGTCTTACATGGATACATCGAAAAAACCGGTTACGGGAAGAAATAGTCTCAAAGCTTAACCACACCGGAAACATAGGTGTTTCTAAATATATTCAAGCATTTCTATGTATTTCTGTATTTTAAAAATGCATGAGAATACATAGAAATACGAAAAAAACGGAAATACCTTTTTTCTCCTTGACGTGATGTCACTGGTATATATTGATGATGGAGTGTGTGCGCAAAAGTTTGAGGACTTCTAGCCCCTACCTTGACTGAGACCCTAGGAAGAGAGAAACTTTTGAACACGGATACAATTTTCTCATTATGAGTTGAATTCCTGCATTTTTTGATTGTTCTGGATCTTCTGGAACAACATGAGCTAAAAAAATAATATCTAAATTATCAACATCTCTTGAATTCTGTGAATTGTAAATTTCTGGATCATGTGAATGTCTCAGCAACAATATTACACTAAGATAATGTCTATTACTGAACAGAAACATCGTAAACAGCATATCATGTTGTTGTGAAGAAAAATGATATTATTCTTGAACTTTACTGATCGAACGAGAAGAAGCATGAAATTTGTTCGACGTCCACTGAAACACAAAGATAATGTGGCTGTCATATTCATTATGACAATCGATCCAAATAAAGTATCGGCTTCAACTACCCCATTCACCCTGATTGATTATGACAGTGCTTAACCACAAGAACGAGAAATTCTCTTTTTCATGCACACTGTTTTTCGTATTGATAAAATCAAACAGACGGCTAATAATAGTCGTCTATGGGAAGTACATTTGACTCTCACCTATGAAACTGATCAACAGCTGACTGTTCTCACTAAGTGCATATAACAGGAGATTGATGGCACTGGATGGCATCGAATGGGTCAGCTGATGCTCAAAGTGGGTCACTTCAATCAAGGTGAAGAACTTTACAATGAACTACTCAAGAACTCCTCCAATGAAAGTGATAGAGCATATATCTATAACCAGCTTGGATGTATGAAAGACAACCAACGTGAGTACAAAGAAGCAATTGCATTTTATCAAATGTCTATCGAAATCAAGCAAAAAATTCTCCCAGCAGATCATCTTTCATTAGCTGATATCTACAATAATATCGGTCAAGTGTATGACAACATGGGTGACTACTTAAAAGCACTTGGATTTCACGAAAAATCTCTGTCTTCAAATCATCCTTCATCGGCTACTTCCTACAGCAATATCACTGGAGTGTATAACAATACGGGTGACTAATCAAAAGCACTTGCATTTTACTAGAAAGCAATTAAAATCCAAGAAAAAGCTCTGCCTCCGAATCATCCTAAGTTGGCTACTTTCTACAACAACCTCTGTATAACGTATAATAACATGAGTAACTACTCGAAAGCAGTTGAATTCTTCAAAAAAGACCTGGAAATCACAGAAAAAGCTGTCTCTCAATCATTCTAGTTTCGCTTCTACATACAGTTGGTTAAGAAAAGTTTATCGTGGCCTGAAAGATTACACTAGGGCACTAGATAACTTCGAAAAAAGTCTCGTAACAGTTCAAAAAACATTATCAGGAAAATATCCCAGTACGGCTGTTGCATACAACCATATTGGTGTTGTTCATCGGTTAATGGGCGCTTATGAAAAGGCACTTTCATTCCGTCGAAAAGCATTAAATATTCAAGAAAATGTACAATGCAATCCTCTGCAGTGTGCAACGACATATATATACTTCGGTGAAATTTATCGAGAAATGGAAGACTATTTAATTGCATCGACAAATTTTATAAAAGCATTAGGAATTCTTGAAAGTAAACTACCAAAAAATCATCCTGATTTAGCTGTAGTCTATCATAATATGGCGAAATTATATTTGGCTACTCGACAATATAGTATAGCAATGAAAAATGTTCAACAAGCGCTAGAAATCGCTCAAGAAAAATTGCTAACAAACCATCCTCATTATTTGGACTACAGAGAAACATTTTAAAAAAATCCGAAAGCAAATGTAACATTTTGGTTTTTTTTCTTTCGACTTGTTCAATAAATTGATTCTTGATTGTTACTATTCCTAATATCTAGACTTTCTCGACTACGTACCACTCGTATGCGCACTAGCGACTAGGGAAACCCTTTGCGAACCTGAAGGGGTACACGCAGAGCGGACTAAATTGGACTCGGAGATAATATGTCCGTAGGCATGTCACACAACGTACGACATGAGCCACAAAAATATAGAAATCTTCCCAAGAACGACACTGCTTCGTTTCTCAGATAAAGAGATTTCTTGGGATCAGGTTAGAGTGTGTATGTGGGTATGGGGTATGCGTGTGACCCGTTATTTCGTCCAAAAGAACAACCCACACCCACACTCACCTACATACGGGTGACAAAAAGTGTAAAATTTGTAAAGGAAGTGGGACTGCAGTAGCTCGAAGTATGGGAGTCGAGCTTTTTTCTCCTTGAGAATATGCAATTAGTTAATGAGGTCTACAGATCATGAAAACCAGCAGAAGAGAGGGACTAGAATATAAAAGAAACGTTGACTTTTGACGACGACATTGTACAAAAATTGGCACATAAGTCACAGGGCTAAGTAGAACGATCTCGAAAGCAAAAGTCTGATTTAGTTTTTTGATTCAGTACATCAGCAACTAATCTCGCTCTCACGCACATTTCTCACTTTAATTTCTTTGAATAAACAAAAATATTCAAGTATACAAGCTCATTCTATTTTAGCGCTTTGCCATTTTCTATATTTCATTAATGAACACAAATTTCTTGCTATAAACGATAATATCCAGCTAGTTCTAGAGTGTAATTTATATTGGAGACAAATGAAGCAATGAGCAAGAAAACCTATATCACTTCAATCAATAATCTTATATGAACGTCGTCTGTTTTGTATCGTCTCATAGATACCTAATCTATAAAGCAACTCATCGAAAAGAATAATCATTTTTATTTGATTTCATTCTCATAGATTTCATTATACTCTGCACTGTGAAAGAATCTTGATTAAATGAATAGCAGATTCAGTTCTAAACTAGCCTATCAACTACATAATGTGTAAATGACATTTTCGAAAGCTATCAGATCCATCACATGATACAATGTCAGCAAGCAATCAAAATTATATTTATTCGTCTCAAACTCCCATTTTTTACCCAATGCCTCCTCCCTTCTTAAAAATAGTATAATTCGATAGACAATCAAATTATATATATTACTCAACTAATTAGAGACTAAGAGAAGCACAGAAACAAATGTTAACAATAAATGCTCGAATCTATTATCAACTTTCCTTATATACAGATCAAAGTTTTTTTTTTCTCGGAATGATGGATATGTATATTCAAGATTAAATGAAGTTGAATATTCTTTTTTCGAAAACATTATTGTTTTTTTGAGAAAGCAATTATTGGAAATTACAGATTTAAAATCTTCAAAAACGTTGAAAGTATCAATTTAATATTGGCTTATTGCTTTATTGTCAAATAAATCTTTCATATACAAACGAAATTAAATAAGCCACTAGTCTTAAGAACTAATTTTCAACTATGTAGTGATGACAGACACCATATTTTTGCTGACGTATCAGTATTTTGCGTATAGTTTTTTAATTAGTATCTTGAATTGAAATATGATCTATTTCCATTTAAAATAAAACTTATTTATTTGATAAAAATTTAGCTTAAGCCTATTGTTTTTTTTGTATCCTTCAAAGAGAAAAATAATCGATCGCTTTTCTTCCGCGAATAGTCTTGTCAATAAGTATAAGTATCAAGGACAATATTCTCTATATAAAGGCTTTCTTTCATATTTTAACATATACTTTCTTTAAGAGCAACATAGAAATGTTGACCGTCTCTACCACCATCGTGCTCATTGTTTTTGCTTCCATCGTTAGTGGACAAATTTTAGAGCATATTGAAAATGGTAAACTATGTACTGGATGGCAAGCTATTTCTCGCTCATCAGTTGGTGTCAATACTGCGCAATGTTCAGGTAGTCTTGGTTATGAATTAGCTCAAGTTTCCGGCATGTTTGCAATACGTTTCTGTTGCCCCTATCAACAAGTGACCCCACCCATTGTTGAACCTGCACCAACTGAATGTGGTCGTGCAGCAGTTGCTCCAATACGTACACGAATTGTCGGTGGACAAGACGCAGCACCACACTCTTGGCCTTGGCTTGTTTCTCTTCAATATCATGGAGGCCATTTTTGTGGTGGCACTTTAATTGTAAATAATAATATATTATGAAAAATCAAACATATAGTATCATATTTTAGGATGAATATCATGTTTTAACTGCCGCTCATTGTCTTCAAGATAGCTCAATGTTTAATTCAAATTTGAAGGTTGTAGCCGGTCTTCATGCACAAAGCAGACCAAATGAATCACAAGTTCAACATAAACAAATTGCAAGCATAATGAATCATCAAGGATATAATGAGAATACACAGGAAAATGATATTGCTATCATTCGTTTAGCTTCACCTGTTCGACTCGATAGTTATGTCAATGTTGCTTGTCTTCCACAAAAAGATCCTGCTGTAAATGAAAATGTTATGATTGGTATGTAAATTAACAGAATTTAAAAAAGAATTTATTTATTCAAATCGAATCATTTAGCTGGTTGGGGTACAACATCATTCGGAGGCAGTTCACCAGATGCACTTCGTCAAGCTAATGTCCTTATCATGAATTCATGTTCAAGCGTCTATCGTTATGATGATAGCAAACAAATGTGTGCCGGTAATCACCAATTTACAAAGGATTCATGCCAAGGTGATTCTGGTGGTCCACTTATGCATGAAGCTAATGGTAAATGGGTAATTAGTGGAGTTGTTAGCTATGGTCATGAATGTGCTAAATTAAATTATCCTGGTGTTTATGCTCGTGTTAGTCATTATTTACCATGGATTCAGAATGCAATCGCTACTTTATCGGCACAATAAATGCTTGATATGTGATATAAAAAGCACATTTTATTTTAGAAAAAAATTAAAAAAAACTTTACCAGTTAATTGTGCATGATTCTGTTATTGACAACTGTCTTTTATTGATTAAAGATATATACGATTTAAGTTTTTCTTTATAGCCAACATTTAGATATCATCAGATTTCAAAAGATACAAAATTTAAACACACAATATTGTGATCAAATGTTTTCGATACATTTTACATAAAAAAATGACTGAACTAACTAGTTGCATATAAAAGCATTGTTTTATGTTAATGTGAAACTACTGTTCATCCATTTAATCTGTTTCATGTATCCATCGATAGCTTTTCTCGACCTATATCCGACACACTTGAGTGTAGTTTTCAAAAGCATCTGCATATTATCCTTGATCATGATCAAGATTTCCCGAGCTGATGAATTGATGAAAAAAATAATAATAAAAATTATTCTACATATTGTTCGCTTGTTGAATTTCAGTCATACGTAAGTGCACTACATGATAGAGGCCATTCTTGTTTAACTCTCTCTCTGTCGATAGACGAAATTTTTCAATTCTTGGTCCTCATCTCATTAATCTAGATATCGATCAAACTGAACTCTATGTAAATAGCTTTGTTTAATATTAGTAGAATACAGATCGATACATTTGAAACTTCTCAATAGTAGAATTACTCTGTTTAGGAATATTGACGAATCTAAAAAAATTACATTCCGTTGATAGTACAGACAAGATATTGACCGCTAAACTGCTTCCTATCATAATGTATACTATGCTCGTCTTACAAGCCGTCAATAGTATCCGTTTCGATCGATCTGTGTAAAAATAAGCTGCTTCTCGAACGACACAGTTATTTAATAGAAATGTTAAACAGATCGACTTTTTACTGGTTGACAGAAATTCCATGGGTTCCAAGTCTGACATAGAGTAACGTCAGATTAGAAAAACAATGTTATCTGTGTTAAAACTATTATACAATAAAGAATAATAAGAAATTACGAAATCCAGTGTATCTTTTGTTATATCTGTTTTGAACAACGAAAAAAATTTAACAGTATACAAACTGTATCAGGCAAGAAATAGTCTTTCCTTTCTTCTATCGACATCGAAAGCTTGTTCATAATAAAAAAACTTTACGTGCTTGTCATCAGAACCAATCATTATATCCATAAACTCTATATAGGTTATATGACAATTTATAATCTATACTTGAGACCTGCGCAGTCAAATTTTGTTCCCGTAAAACAGCTACATCTTATCTATATGGCGATAGTATATAATGTAATATTACACGAAGATGATGACAATATATCGAATGACGTAAGTTAAAATATTGAATGACGCTAATCTTTTTGCTTAAGAATCACTTGCGAAAATTCATCTAATGTAGATATTTTCTTTTGTTTGTTTTTTTTCTACTTAACTTGCTTTCATGCTATACGGCTATTGGATTCACAATTTTTATTTATTAGACGATACAGTTGTTAGCAATGAATGCTACACAAGAAAAGAATGAAATATGATTTTCAGAGTTTCGATAATTCAAATCGATCTGAGACGGAATATGTTAAGATATAATCTTATCAATTTATTCTTCATTCAGATGCAATATATGCATGCAAATATGACAACTATCGACATGTCGATAAATAAACAAACGAGAAAAGGAGAGAAACATTCTCAAGACTAAATAGAAAAAAATATGTTTTTTTATGTACATCAATACAGGTGACAAAAAAGCGTGAAACTATTTGAAATAGGTTTTTTTTTCAACTTTTTATAAACAAAACTATCATACGAACGTGGTGAAGGAAAAAAACTGGGGATATGTGCGAGAAATTTTTTAATACATAACCTAGTCGACATACAAATTTCAAACAGTGTAGAAGCGATGCAGAAACTTTTTTTTCTCATCCAATAGCTTTGCTTTCGGTAAAAAAATCAATAGTTGCTGCGAAAAAAAATAATAAAAAATTTCGAAATGTAAGGAAGAAGTACGTACCCGACAATCGTCAACTTCTTTTTATTATTCTAAGTAGTTATGTTCTTACATAGGACTCTTCATAAATAACAGTTGTAAACTGATTTATGTTAATACAAATATGAAGAGAAATTTTTTGGAGTCACACTACTACTGTATTTGTTGACAAAAATTCTAACTTGTTTTTCTTACATAGTTTTTGAATATTATTCTCTATTCAAGGCAAATATATCCTAACATGAAGCGTGTTTCATACTTTCTCGATACATATAAAATATATGCAATATGATAATAAAAACAGAGAGAAAAAAATTTAATTATTTTTCTTTATTGTAAAAATCAAATCAAAGTAGATTAAATACATTCAATAAGTTGACAAACAAAACAAAAATCGAGGAAAAGTCAAATAATAATAAAAGACAAGGAAGTTTGTTTGTTGCTATTCGAATAATTTGCAAAATTCGTCAAATGAAAGCTTTCCATCATTATTAACATCTAATGATGAAAGCATGGATTGAAGTTGATTTTTACTTAATTGTTTTCCCATACCCGAAAAAACTTCTTGAAGTTCATCACATGTTATAGTACCACTTCCATCTCTATCAAATTTTTTAAATGCATCTAATAATTCATGTCTAGAGTATTTTTTAAAAAATGATCGAGCCATAGCATTTTTAAATTCTACAAAATCGATGTCACCACTATTATTCGTATCCATTTGTTTCAATAAGGTTTCTGTTTCTTTAGGACTTGCTTTTATATTCAATGCTTTTAAGACTCCTTGTAATTCATCTGCAGAAATTCTTTGTGAATGATCTAAAAATTTCAAAAAAAATTCGTTTTTAACTCTTGGATTTCGTTTTGTTTTTATTATCCTACATACCTTTATCAAAAAGATCGAATGCAGCACGTAATTCACGTTCCTGACTTTGTGTAAGTTGAGCCATAACTGAAGTTCTGAAATAGTTGTTTTTTTGCAAATAAACTCCACATCATTTCGTCTTTTAAACTGTGTTTTTTTTCTGTTCTTTGTTTGTTGACAGCATTTTCGCCAAAAAAAATGTCTGATCTGCTCGGTTGTTACTCTCTTGACTAGAAAAGAATAATAAAAATGAATACTTGTTGTTAGAAATAGAAAGAACAGTAAAAATAATTAAAAATCGTCATAAAATATAATTTTTCTTTACTCTTAGATTTTTATTTTCAATCTTATTCAAATTTTTTTAACACTTCATTAATAAGGCCTCTTCAAAATCGCAAATTTTAGTGCTTTAATTATCGAAAATGAGCAATGAAAGACATACATTATGACTAACAGAATCATAAAATCATAGATGGATATTAATTGAAGGTCTTCATTATTATATTGTGATCTTCTAATAGTAGATTACTCATTAGTATTAATTGTAAAATATTTATCAATATGATTAATAGAGTCAAATGATTCATGAAAACGACAATAATCTCCATGAAAACCATACTGATAAGAATATTACACAAATAAAATAACAAACGATTGAGTTGTAGTAATAAGTAGCAAGCCTCAAAAGTTTTGATTGCTCTTTGTTTTCTTTACAACAGTACAGACGATCTCTGATAAGCACGACGAATTGTCGATAACATGTCTCGTCTATAACTGTTTCTTAATGATCAATAAATGAATATAAATTGCTCAATCAAACAAGAATATATATATCTTTTTTGCTCATTCATCATCATTTCAGTTTTTCAACAAGCATAACAAAACGAAATAGAAATTTTTGTACATTCAACCACTGTTCTTTTATAATAGATATACAAGTAAACTTATGATGTAATACAGAAATGTATACCGACATAAATTATCAAATTTTATTTTATTTGAATTATCATAAATTATTCTAAAATAAAGATACAGGTCTACTTGTTTTCTTTTTGATTTTAATATGCACATCCAATTAAGCATTTATTGTTATGTCATACGAATATCTTAAGATACAAAAGAAGATGAAAACCAAATGTTTAGATATGTATTAAACAAAAACTACATATTTGCTCTTGTTGAAGATCATTGTGTTGGATAGTGATGCTATTTTTTTAGAATGTGACGTGTTAGAAAAGAGCTATTTTTCAGTTAATGTGTAATTTTGTAATTCTAATTTAATTACGAAAGACTTTTATTTGCAAAAGAAAAATGAATTTAAGTTTGACTTGACCTAAGTGGTCTTCTCTATGAGAATTTTTTTTATTTTTATAATAAAAAAGAACAAAATAAATCATTCGATTTCCTAGAAAAAAAACGGGCCAGACTAAAGATCTTTCACTGTTGTTGTTTTCGTACTATCTCGTGCTTTTGCAATATTTCGTTGTAATTCTAAATGTTCAAGTCTTTTCTTAGCACTTCGCTCTCGAAATAAATCTGTGACAGAAACAGGTTGAATACCTAAAAAAACAACATCAGAAATCAAATTTATTAATAAGACAACAACAACAATAAGGAATCAACCTTCTTGATCTTTTTTCTTTTCAAATAATGTATTATATGTAACAATAATTGAAACAAATAAAACTGATGCCATAATAATAGCATAACGTTGTGGCATTTTCTCAGGGTCAGCTAAAAAAGATCGTCGTATTTGTCGACGTAAATTGTCATTGATTTGTTTAAAAATTTGAAATACCATATCTAGAATACTTAATGCACAAATTAAAATTTTAACTTTACAATTTGTTTTTTGTTATATTTGTTTTGTTTTCAATGAAATCAATTATTGTTATTGTTCATATGCAATTCAAATCTAATATTATTTAAAGAAATCAAATTCTTATAATTCTGTATTATATCTGTTTTTTTCACACACGCATTATGGATTTTTATGTTTTGTTTTTAACAGAAAAATGCCTTAGCTAGCGCGCAAAAGAAAAAAATCGAGTATGAAGAAGAAAAAAAAACGACTATAAACAAACAAACACACATAAACAGTCCTAGAGAAAAGAATTTGAATAATAACGAAGAAAAACAGAAAAACCAAAATAGGACGCTTTTCATTATTATCATCATCATTATTGTTTCATATATATATATACACATGTAATTGTGAGTAAAGAATAAATGTTATGTCGACGGAGTATAATGGATTGTTTTCTTTTAAGAGCACAAACAAAAAAAAAATAAAAAAAACAAAAAAAAAGAACTCCGTGAACGATTGTTTCATATAGACAAATATAAATAAATAGAATTAGAAGCGAAAAAAAAACAACAACATATAAACAGAAATAAAGAGATTTAATTCGTACAAGCTCGAAATTAAAATTTATTGAATCGTAGGAAAATGCTATTTATTCTTTGTATATTGAGACAGAATAAGTTAAGAGAGATATGACGATCAAGTCATGGGTGAACGTTCTAATGAACCTTCACGACTATTATTGTCTTTTTGTCGACTGCTTAAATTATCCACTTTGTAACGACGACGCCTAAAACAAATAAACAATTTAATAAAAATTATTTGTTTCCTAATTTACGAGAGAATCTTCACAACTTGTAAATTTCCTTTTTAGTTCGGACTCTGTGCATAAGGTAGACTCTAGAAATAGAATCGATCTGAAATCCACATTGATATTCGACTGACGAGTTGCCATATTATTCTATCTGTGTATAGTAATATTTGACATAGGCAAATTTCAACAAAATTTGAATACATATTCTCGATGAGATATTAATAAGCGGAGGTTCTCTAGTGATAAAACGCTATTAAGCTGGAACTGATGGGTGACTCAGAACAAATGGCCACACTTTGTGTTTCATGGTTTTAATCGTTTAACACGTTGCATTTAAAAAGAATACCACAAGACGCAGCGGAAAAGCTCTACAATTTACATAAGACTACTTATTTTATAGTTACACGTTTTGTTTTCAAAATGGACAAAATTTAGAGCGACCAAATTTCGACTGTGTAAAAATTGGTTACGTAAAATTTTGCCTATTTTCAAAAGAATCACAATAAGCTTTACGATGTAAATAATAGAGCTTTTCACGCTGCATCTTGTGCTATATTTTGTTTTTTTTAAATATTATTTGTTTAAAGATAAAAAAAATGAAACACAAAGTGCGACCATTTATTCTGGACAACCTGTTATATTCAATCGGTAGAGTTTAGTGAGCAAGTAACCGATCTAGAGTGATTCGAATTATTGGGCCTTTGTTGATGAGATATCGAGTTTTTGGAAGATTTTTCCCGTAGAGTCTTAGTTTTCAGGCGAAGTTATATTTTTGAATTTTGATCGGAAACTTAAATCACATAAACGCACAGATTAGGGTAGCTTGCAGAAAACGTTTTACAAAATATTTCACCAAGTCATTGTGAGATATGAATTTTTTGACGCATAGGCGTTTTGCCATGATTCATTGTTAATCAGTATGGATACTTGGAAAAATTCATTTGTCGAAGATACTTGCTTAAAAATTCTGAAACTTTTTCTACCAACTAGTCTAACCGGTCTCTTTATAAAGGGTTTTTTTCAGACTAAAATTCAAAAATACGATTTTGCTTGAAAACTGAGATTCTACAGGAATAATTCACTAAACATTCGAAAAACTCAACAATAAAAACGCAGTACCTCGAATCAATCCAGAATATATAGCTATTCATGAGAATCTATAGATTGAATTTAATTCGAAATCGAAAGTCATTTACTCCTTGAGGATCTTTCCTTGACAGGGAAACGCTGAATAAGACACACTAGTAATCGACATCGGTTCCATCTCTGATAAATTTCAATGAGATATTATAAATGCAAAAAGGATCGAATGGCTATATTTTAACCTACAGTTTTACCCGTAGATAAACCCACTTGTAACTAGAATGTCCTGAAAATTTCAGCTCAAAACATCGTTTCTTTTGCAATTTCAAACGTCTCATTAAGTTCAACCTTATATCCAAGGTTAAAGTACAAAAAAAAGCTTTCAAGTGAAAAGGATTTCTTCATCAGTTAATCAATGTTATATTATTCCTAACAAAGATATTTTTAGTTCTTCATTTTGAAGACTTGATTACAAGATAAGATTGTCCTATTTGTACAAGATTCATATAAGATAGAGAAAGATGTTGGCAGATGTAAAAAGAAATGTGTAAAAAGAGATGAAATTATCTCCCAATTGTCTGATTATATGTCATGTCTCAAACAAAATTCGATGAAAGACGACAGATATCATTGCAAAAGAAAACACACATAGTTATCTCAAAAGTAAACACAGATAATAAGTAACTCGTTTGCTTTATAATTTGTTTCTAACATTTCATTGTTACTTTAATACAATCTTCTTCGAAAACCTATTCTCTTCTATGTAATCTACAAACATTCCTACATATAATCATTTAATAAAACATTCCAAGAAAAGAATTTTTTTTCGTAGCAATGTCCTTGACTTTCTTCTTGGAATTTTATAGCCTAGACTGATACAAACATTCAATCGACCTGTGTAAAAAAATTACTAATCTATTTATGATTCTGTTGAATCAATTTTTGTTCAAAAATTATAATATACCTTGCATTCTGACTGGGTATGCCAGGCGGTGGTTTAGGTAAATGACTAACAGTTGATGAACTAGATACATCATCAAGTAATAAATTATTACTTGACGATGAATGTTGTAAAGGTTGTTGACGACGTTGAAACTCTGTAACTCCACTTAAATAATTATGTTGTTCAATACTTGCATGACTTGATGAATTTCCAAACATACTACCAACAATCGATGTTGGATTATTTGTACCATTATTATTTTGATAATAAAATGATGATGAATAATAAGGATAAAGATTATTAGTATTATTTATTGATGTTGTTATTGTGGACGGATTTATATTTTGATTTGAACGATTTGTCGATAATGATGATTGCTGTTGATAATAAACATGATGTGGATTTGTTGTTGAAGCTGATGGTGTATCAAATAAATCTTTA